GGATTTCAAGATTGGTCTGCTCAAACGAGCCACCATCTTGCGGGGGCACGTTAAGGGAATATAATCCTACATCGGTAAAATACCGAAATAATGACCAATATATAAAGAATTTGGACACTCCTCTTAATAAGGTTGACCTTATTAAGATGGACCCCAAATCTTTAGAGCATGTGTTCACCATGTGTTGAAAGAGATACCTCCATTGATGCATCAGATCATATTCTAATTTTGAAACTCTAGTCGAGTTTCCCAGACCATGTTTCTCAGTTGCCTTACTCCAGCAACTTCTTGCAATCATAATGCATGCTTCTTTTTGGCTCTTCTTTAATGCTTAAGAAATTTGGATACCATTGACAGAAGAGAATAAAGCCGGTTAAAATGGATAAAAACAATTTTCCAATCATATTTAAATAGTAACTAACAAGTATGTATAAGCCCACCAGATATTCGAGCCTTCTTGTCCTGGTAGTGGAGATCCAACCATATATAAGCAGCTGATAGCACAATAAATTCACGGCCTTATCAATACATTAATATAAAAGATAATAGAGCAAAAAAAATGCAATCAAATATTTCATGACCAAGAATACTTAAAGCTATAGGCAAGATCAGGGAAATGCATGGATTGAGACCTTTTGTGCAAAACGAACAAGAGAATGCTTTGATCAAGTCAATCCCTCCACTCATATTAGCACATCCATCAACACTTTTAAGTTTAGTGCATCTCTCTAATCCAAGTACTCTAGATTCCTATAACTCGGGTACTACATACAATCAATAGAGCCAGACTGGCTCAAGGTGAAACTGTCAACGTTATTATCATCCCCATAGTTTTGATGATCAGATTCACTTTGAGTGCCTTCAGAAGTGACTTTGTCTTCATAACCATTGCAATTATTTCCATCACAACCACTATTACCACCAGTTTCACTAGTTTGCACCAATATTTTAGTAACAAAAGTGTTGACTAACTCGTCATTAGCTTCAGCATAAAATTTAGTTTCTCATTTTTGCTGGATATTTTTGAACTGCCCATTGCACCATCACCCGCATCACTCACAATAACCTCAGCCACTCTGCTCCTGCCAGGAACTGGAGTCCCTGAAATCACATTCTCCTTTGATGAATCTATCTCATTATAAACATCAGCTACAATTTCAGCATGATTCACAGCTCTGCTCCTACCAAGATCTATCAGAATAGGGTCCATTTTATTTTCACTCCTCATTTTGCCTATCCCTGAACTAGCACTGTCCTTAAAAGTATCAATCTCGTTGCAGCAATCTGAAATGTCATTATCAATTGCATCCACTTGAATAACACTCTTGGAAACAGCATAATCCTTGCATAAATCTAAAGCGTCTGTATTCTTATTTTAATTGGGAACTTTTGAAATGCTTGATATAATATTCCCTTTCAACGAGTCAATCTCAGTACAAGGACGACTGGACGAGGTATAACCCGTGCCTGTTTAACCCGATCTTCATTTTTGAAATTATTACTCTTAATCCCGTATTTTTCTTTCTCTGAAGATCTCCTCTTGCCAGGCTGATTCGTAACATCACCAAACACCGATTGTAATTTCTGATGCCCTTTAGAAGCATTCCCCTCAGCCATTATGAAATTCACCCGCTAGAACAAAATCACACCCTAAGATTCAGAACTCTATTCGACAATTAACTCTCTAAGACTTGGGTTACAACTCTATTTCACAGATTTCTCGAAAAACCATAGATTTATCGCCCCTGATCTGAAACAGAGAAAGAAACTCAAAGTTATGTAAAAATAATTGCAATTAATAATTTTCCAATACAGAACTTATAGCGGAAAACTGATAAAACTGTTTGTTACGCCCTTATCTGAACCACTTCGGAAAGATTGTCACTGCGTCATACGAAGTGTCCAACACCCATCCGAAGTGGTTCCGAAGTGACTCCACCACTAAAGTTGGCGAGCTGCTAACGTGCTGTGAGACACAAACAATTCTACTGAACCAATCGAAGCGTTCTTGCCTCTGACGTCGAAGCTCAATACACTCCGAGGGTCTCTGTCAAAGGATCCGTCGCCAATTTCAGAAGGAGATCTGTGTCAAGATTCTTTCTGCCCTCAAAGTTTAAATTGATTTGACGTCTCCATG